TTGTAATTTTGATTTGCATTTCCCTGGTGATTAGTTGTTGAACATTTTCATAAACCTGTTGGCCACTTGTATGTCTTCACTTGAGAAATATCTGTTCTCATCCTGCAATCGTTTTTCAGTTGGGTGATTTGTTTTCTTGCTATTGAGTTTCTTTTATATTTTGGATATTAATCTCTTATCAGATGTATGGTTTAAAAATATTTTCTTAATCTTAAAAAAATATAATCTTACCAACCTGTGGGTTTACATTCTTTTTTAAAAACATTTTTATTACAGAAATATCTCAATACACATAATAGAGGATAGTATAAATAACTCCCCATGTATCCATCACTCAGCTTTAAAGATAATTAACATCTTGTCACTCGTTTCATCTATTCCTTCTGATCTCCCACATTTTAAAAAGCATCATGTCATTTCTATCCTAAATATAAATATATTGAGACAGAGTCTTGCTCTGTTGCCAGGCTGGAGTGTATTGCTGCAATCTTGGCTCACTGCAACCTCCGCCTCCCAGGTTCAAGCCGTTCTCCTGCCTCAGCCTCCCAAGTAGTTGGGACTACAGGTACATGCCACCATGCTCAGCTAACTTTTGTATTTTTAGTAGAGATGAGGTTTCACCATGTTGGCCAGGATGGTCTCAATCTCTTGACTTCGTGATCTGTCTACGTCAGCCTCCCAAAGTGCTGGGATTACAGGTGTGAGCCAGCACACCCGGCCCTATCCTAAATATTGCAAAATGAATTACAATCAATGAAAACTTTTTCATGCACAGTCACTCAGCTATTATCACATAATGACATTAACATTAATTCTTTAATATCACCTAATATTCACTCCATATCATTTTCCCCATTGTCTCAAAAATGTATTTTTACAGTTTGTAAGTTCTTTTAAAATCTACTGTTAAAAACAACACGAGAAATTTTCAAAGGAGTCTAATTAGAAAGTAGGCAAAAGACATGAACAGACATTTTACTGATGACCATGTACAGATGGCAAGTAGCACGTGAAAAGGTGTTCATTAGTCATTGGGGAGATGCGAATTAAAAATCACAATGAGCTATCACTACCCACCTATCAGAATGATTAAAGTAAGAAACATTAGTAACACTAAATGCTGGTGAGGCTGTGGACAAACTGGATCACTCATGCGTTGCTGGTGGAAAAGTGAAACCAGCTACTCTGGAAAACAGTATGGCGGCTTCCTCCCTCCCTCCCTCCCTCCCTCCCTTCCTTCCTTCCTTCCTTGTTTGTTGTTGTTTTTGTTTTTTGAGACAGGGTCTGGCTCCATCGCCCAAGCTGGTGTGCAGTGGTGTGATCATAGCTCACTTCAACCTCCGCCTCACAGGTTCAAGTGACCCTCCCACCTTAGCCTCCCAATTAGCTGGGACTGCAGGCACACATCACTGTGTCTGGCCATTTTTTTTTTTTTGGAGATGGGGTTTTGCCATGTTGCTCAGGCTGGTCTTGAACTCCTGGGCTCAAGTCATCCTTCTGCCTTGGCCTCCCAATGTGCTGGGATTACAGATGGGAGCCACCATGCACTCAGCCTTGACAGTTTCTTGTAAAACTAAACATGCACTTACCATGGGACCCAGTGGTTGTGCTCCTAAGCATTTATCCAGAGAAATGAAGATAAAAACCTGTACATGAACGCACAGAGTAGCTTATTTGTAAGAACCTGAAACTGAAAACAATCCAAGTGTCTTTCAACAGGTGAATGTTTAAAAAAACTGTGTTACATCCATACTATAGAATATTAATACTATTCAGCAATAAAAAGGAATAAACTCTTAATACATGTCAAAACCTTGGATAGATCTCAAAGGGATTGTGCTGAAATCAAATCTGATTCCATTTATATAGTATTTTTGAAATGACAAGATATAAAGAACAGATTAGTGATTGCCAAGGGCTAGGGAAGTACGAGGGAGGGAGGTGGCTGTAGCTATCAAAGGGTAGCATGAGAAATCTTTATGCTGAAGATGTTTTGTATCGTGGCTGTGGTGGTGGTCATCAGCCTACATGTGATAAAATTATGTAGAACTAAATACAGACACACAATGAGCATGTGTTAAACTGGTGAAATCTGAATAAGGTGTATGGATTATATCAATGTCAATTTCTTGATTGTGTTATTGTTCTATAGTTATGCAAGATGTTACCACTGGGGAAAGTATGTGAAGAGTATATGGAATCTCTCTGTATTATAGCTTACAAAACAGATATATAAAAAATAGAGAGTAGGAATGAGAATGAGAAAGGGAGGACTCTTCTTACTTGATACCTTGCTTTCACTGTTTTTACCACATGCATGCATTATTTTTTTAAATTACCATGTGTTTGCTTCTGTTAAAAAAAAAATCATGTCTGGAAACTTCATCTAAGAAAATACAGATACAATAAGATTGTTTTGGAAACATAAAGCTAGTTGTTAACCTTGGAATTTGAATTACAATGCAAGAAAGTAGTTCAGTATTGAATCTGAGTATTGGCACAATTACAAATTTCATATTACATTACAATTATTGATCAGAAGGGAAGAGGGCAAGAAACTAAGAAAAAGTATGAAACCTGCCTTGGATTAGAAGAAAAGAGTGTTCCATTATTCACAGACAGTTGCTTTAAGAGGCTTTCCCCTTTCCTGTTTTGATTCTATTTGGAAGAAGGATTTCAGAAATTAAAATCTGGATCATGAGTGTAAGCATTAGTCTAGAAACTGTCTAGTTCCTCCAGAGAAGATTAAAGTCGGCCACTGGATTCAGAAAATAGGATGATAAAGTCTTCAAAGAAAGACTGAGTAGAGGCAAGAAATATGCATCTACAATAAAACATTATCCCATTAAGACTGGGAAAAGATTCAGGATTAAGTTAAGTAGTTAATAATACATTTAGAAATCAATGGGCAAGATGCACAGTTGTACTGCAATGTGAATCCACAATTTTTTTTTTTTTTTTTTTTTTTTGAGACAGAGTCTTACTCTGTCACCCAGGCTGGAGTGCAATGACCCGATCTCAGCTCACTGCAACCTCCGCTTCCTGGGTTCAAGCAATTCTCCCACCTAAGCCTCCTGAGTACTTGGGATTGCAGGCGTGAACCACCACAAACAGCTTAATTTTTGTATTTTTAGTAGAGACTGGGTTTCACCATGTTGGTCAGGCTGGTCTCAAACTGCTGACCTCAAGTGATCCACCTGCCTCGGCTTCCCAAAGTGCTGGCATTACAGGCATGAGCCACTGAGCCCAGCCAAATTTTTTATTTTTCATTTTTATTATTTTGTGTATCAGAATATATTTTAAAGAATGAAAAATTTTAAAAATATACAAATAAAATGGAAAGATTTTGATATATTTTATCTCAGAATAATGTCCTCTATATTGTTTTTATTCATCAAGACATTGAGATCATACTATATAGTTTCATCTTTTTCCAATCAATGTTATATCCCAAGAATTTCCAATGTTCTTAACAATTCTTCACAAATACAATTATTATTATTTTTTTTGAGACAGAGTTTCGCTCTTGTTGCCCAAGCTGGAGTGCAATGGCACGATCTCAGCTCACCGCAACTTCTGTCTCCTGGGTTCAAGCGATTCTCCTGCCTCAGCCTCCCGAGTAGCTGGGATTAACAGCACGTGCCACCATGCCTGGTTAATTTTTTGTATTTTTAGTAGAAACAGGGTTTTACCATGTTAGCTAGGCTGGTCTCGAACTCCTGACCTCAGGTGATCCACCCGCCTTGGCCTCCCAAAGTGTCGGCATTATAGGTGTGAGCCACCATGCCAGCCCTCAAAAAATACAATTTTTGATGGCTGTAAAACATTATCTCCTGAATCTGTCATGATTTATTATTCTCCTCCTAATAGGTGTTTAAGTTGTTCACAATTTTTGATATCAACAAATAGTGCTGAGACAAGCATCTTTATTCATAAAACTGGTTCCACTCACCCTGCTCTGGGAAGCTTAGTTTTGTCTCAATTTGTCCTTATGATTTTTAAGATTGGACATCTTCCTGTATTTTTATTTTATAGTAGTTGTACATGAAACTCCTTTGAAATAAAAGGAGTACTTAATCTGGAGATGTTCTTTTGTCATTACTTCACAGATAAGCTGGCTAAAGTTGATTTTAAATCCTGGAGGATGCTAGAGACATGGGAAAGGTGAGAGAGGAAGACAGAAAGTAATGGGAGATAAAAGGGGAAAATGGAGTATGGGAAGAGCCAGACCCAGAGGGAGAGACGGAAGGGAAGGTGGCATGACTCCTGAAACTCCTCTGGTCTATGTAAGGCTCTGTACTTGGTTCCCAACAATGGGTCCAAGTGAGGTTTCAGCTTCCAAATACAGAGTATTCTCAAGGAAGTCAAAATACTATTGAAACAAGGGATTCTGATCGTTGCACAATGGGCACAGCTAGAGGCAGGGACTTTGGATCAATTACTGGGGGAATGGAAAAGTTACATGTATGTAGTAGGGAACAGGGGTTATACTTGGTTAGGCAGAGAAGCCTTGGAGTTTTCTCAGAATCTGCACTGAGGGTTAAGGGAGCTATCTATGAAAAGGTGTGCAACTTCTCCAATCCCCAGCAACTCTAGCCAGTTTCCCAGTACTGCCTTGTCCTGGTCCTGAAGGTGTGGCTGGACGCAGTTTAAATATCTGGGCACAAGCTCAGCCAGACTCTGGTTCCCTCTGCTGTTCACTCCCACTGGGCTTCTGGTCCCAGCCCCATCTCAGTCACTGTGGCTGGTCAGAAGACAGTAAATCCCAAACTGGTTAGTTGCAAAGTCCATCTGGCTTGGTTTTCTGTTGCTGATAGAGAGACCAGGGGAGTTTCTGTGTGAGAGAATGGGGGACTATTCTCACTTCTTCCACAGCCCCAAGGAAGGCTGGATGGCTGATCTGGCTGGAAGTACCAAAAGAGCTCTCCTTCACCTATCCCTAGAGTAGGCAGGATGTAACCCCAGGAATGAGAATACACCAGGGCAGATACAGACACAGAAACATTTTGCCTGAGGGCATTAGGTTTATTTTGTAGGAAAGCAGAGTGGGGACTCTCTGAAAGGCACTTGTGAGGCATAGAAGTAAAGGTTGCCACATGGCTAATGGTGGACCCCTTCCTGGTGTCCTTGGGGGTAGGGGAAAGATAGACAGCTCCCAGGGCCACAGAAAATACCTCTATCAGATAGAGAAATCCAAGTCCCAGTGCCTTATGGTGGAGCTGGGGTTCAGCAGATGGCCTGCTGTTTTTATACGAAGAGTTTGCTTCCTCTGGGCAATCTTAAAGTCTGGCATTCACGGCTGGAGGCACAGGGCCCATCCACTTCTCTCCTGGATGAAGGAAATAACAGACTCTGCACACTGTTCTCAGGTGTGCTGGCAGCAGGAGTTGGTCCCACAAGGTCCCAGGGGTTTTCTAATAAGACCCGTGCTTGGCTTCAAGGTACAGAAGGCTTCCTTCTCTTTTATGGCGATGAAGACAGCCTCTGCCCATTCAATGTTGAACAGCACTGACCGCATAAGGCTTTGCTACTGGAAGTACCAAGAATATTTTTTGCTCTGAGCCCCTCCTTCCAGTCAACTGATATAGTGGGGGTGAAGCTGGGGTTAAAGGCAGTTCAGTGTTGAATCTTTTTATTTTTTGAGACAGAGTCTTGCTTTGTCACCCAGGCCGGAGTGCAGTGGTGTGATCTTGGCTCACTGCAACCTCCACCTCCCAGGTTCAAGTGATTTTCCTGCCTCAGCCACCCGAGTAGCTGGGACTACAGGCGTGCACCACCACGTCCAGCTAATTTTTGTATTTTTAGTAGAGATAGGGTTTCACCATGGTGGCCAGGATGGTCTCAATCTCCTGACCTCATGCTCCGCCTGCCTCAGCCTCCCAAAGTGCTGGGATTACAGGCATGAGCCACTGCACCCGGCTCAGTGTTGAATCTTTAACTTACCCAGCAGGAACGCCAGCAGCTCCATCCGGTCAGAGCCAAATATCATGTGGGTTTGGCCATCCACATGGGCCACGGTGATGGGCAGCCCAAAGGCCTGGAGAAAGCAGTTACAGTGCAAGGGGGAAGGCAAAGGAGCAGGTATTAGGTGGGGGTTGAAGGCTTCCAGTCAGTACTTTTCTGAGTTCACAGAAGGAAAGAGGTGTAAGAGGCTCCATGGCCCCAGGTGCCTTCCTGTTTCTAAGATGCTGTCTTTTCTCTTACTATCCATCTCCTTCCCTTGCTTTCCCTGAGCCCAAGGAAAAGAAGGGAAAAGATGAAGGTTGTCTAAGAGCGTTGAGGAGAACACTTGGAAAGTGAGCTTTTGCACAGAAGCATGGGGACTCACACCTAGAGATTCTCAAGTCTCCATCTTCAGGATGGGGGCTGGGAACACACATAAAGAGCTGCTCACCCCGTATCTGCAGGCTGCCTCAGTGGTCTCCTTGAGCTGGTTCTTCACCTTTGGTGTTGAGATCTTTTCCAGAAGCCCCTGGGCTTGTTCTGCAGACATGCCAGCCTTCTCTGCAGCCTAAGGGAATATAGTAGGGAATACAACTGTGGCTGCATGATATTGGATGGGGATCTCAGAGGAAAACTCTGGTCTTTTTATTTTCTGCCCCCAAGTTTTCCTGGCAATGCCCTTACCCACCCACAAGTGGAGATCTGTCCTTGCCAAGAGGAACTATTTCCTTTCTCCCAAATCTTGAGATGGGTGGAAAAGGTAGATGGCACAGAGTCAATCACAGAAATTAACACCAGGGGACATCTTAGAGACCAGCTAGATAGACCTCTTTATTTCACAAATGAAGAGCCTGAATCCAGAGGTGATACATTACTTGCTCAGAGTTACAGAACATGTTGGTAGCAGAGCCAACACTAATATGGAGGTCTCTAGAATTCAAGTCCAGGGCTCTTTCCTTCCTACTTCTCAGAGTTCCTGAGTATCTCATGCTTTTTTCGAATCAAGAGCTAGGCTCTAATTCCAGTGGAACTTCCTGAGGACCTTGTAACAAGGCACATGGCTGCAGCCACCTACCTGGCTTCAAGACAAAGATAAAGGCTTCAGTTTGTGGTTTAGGTATAGTTTGGGATAGGTGGTTCTTAACCTTGGCTGCCCATTTGCAACTCCTGAGGAGCTTTAAAAAATCTCCACGTGAGGTCATCCCTTAGAACTAGAGCCAAGCACTGTGGCTTATGCCTGTAATTCCAGCACTTTGGGAGACTGAGGCAGGAGACTGCTTCAGCTCAGGAGTTCGAGACCAGCCTGGGCAACACAGTGAAACCCCCATCTCTACAAAAAAATTAAAAAAAAATTAGGCATGGTGGCACATGCTTGAAGTCCCAGCTACTCATAAGGCTGAGATGGGAGATCACTTGAGCCCAAGAGGTTGAGTCTGCAGTGAGCCATGATCATGCCACTGCACTCCAGCCTGGGTGACAAAGCAGGATATTGTCTCAAAAAAGAAAAAAAGAACAAGAACAATTACATCACAATTCCAGGGGGAAAGGGTTAGCTCCAAGGTACTCCAGGCGATTTTAATTCACAGCCAAGATTGAGAACCACTGCATCTTGACTTCCTAGATCAGAAGTGCGACCCAGGAATTCATGTAGCCTGTCCTAATGAGACACTATCTTTGACTTGGTTAAATTAGAGAATTATGTACCACACAAAATGTTTACAGAAAAATGGTTAAGTAAAACAAAAATAAGTCCACTCAATAGAACCTCTATAGAAACAAAGAACTATACTTTCAAAGAGTTAAAAACTGCATGGAGGCCAGGCACAGTGGCTCATTCCTGTAAACACAGCACTTTGGGAGGTGGAGGCAGATAGATCTCTTGAGCTCAGGAGTTCGAGACCAGCCTGGGCAACATGGTAAAACCCCTTCTCTACAAAAAATAAAAAAGTTAGCCGGGCATGGTAGTGTGTGCCTGTAGTCCCAGCTACTCGGGAGGCTGAGGTGGGAAGATCGCTTGAGCCCAGGAGGCAAAGGTTGCAGTGAGCCGAGGTTGCGCCACTGCACTCCAGCCTGGGTGACAGAGCCAGACCCTGTCTCAAAAAAAAAAAAAAAAAAAAAAAAAGGCACAGAAAATGATTATTAAATATGAAGTAAAAAAGCAAGCTAAAAATTACACATGTACTTTGCAGGAATATAGACTGTAGAAGATATATTTGCCATTCCTTATACATTTAACTTTTGTGTGATTTGCCACTTGAAATATTACATTTGAATAGGTTTCAACTATTTTTTTGTAAGCCAGAGGAATAATACTGTTTTGAATTTCCTAATTTAATCCTGAAGACAAACTTACTTATCTGTGGCTCACTGGTCAATGTTTTGAGCTATTTCCATTTGTTCTCACTCAGGCTTCTATATACCGTGGCATTAGTCAGTTATCTCTTTTTGTCTTTTTAAAGCCTCTTGGAAAAAGTCTCCTGTCTTCCACTCTGGATGTGTTGGTGAGGTTTGTGTTGGAGTCTGTGGAGACTTGTGAATACTACATCCCTTCCCGTCCAGGGGTTCCGACACTGAGCATTTTTCTCTCACTGATGTCTTTCAGCAAATAAATTCTACCCATATGTTGTCCCTTTTGCACTTCCCCTTTCAACTTGGAGATATCCTTTTGAGGATCCTTAGTTCTGACTTTTCAGTAATTTGTCCCCTGAATCACAGACATCCTTTCTTCCCCAGTAATTATAACCTTTTCCATGCAATAAGAGACCTATTGTATTCTTTACCCCCAACCGCCAACTGTTCTCCGATTCTCTCTGAGTACAGTTGAGGTGGAGCCAGGACACTCACCGCCAGGATGCTCTGGGGCTGGGTGATGTCTTCATCCTAGGAAGAAGAGAACACTCAGCAGGAAGGCAGTGCCTCTCACAAGGAGAGGGGTGTGACTGGAGGACCATAGATCCCCTGGGGTAGTAGGGAGGGCAGGATCATGACCCTGAAAACATTTCTAGGGAAGGTCAGAAAGTCATCGAAGGTCTTCCCAGAGGATTCCCAGAGCCCCACACTCACCCTTGACCAGACACGCATCCACAGCTCCCGGGACACTTTCTCTAGCATCTCTGGATGCTCTAAGCTCACCGCGGTGAGGAAACGCATGGCAGACAAACTTCCTGTGGGACAAAGGCACCCAGAGGCAGGGCTCCTCTTGCTGCTTTCCTGGTGGAGGACTAGCTCTTCCTTGCTTCTGACATCCCCCAGAGCTCCTGTGCCCTCAGCCTCTCACCCAAGGTTCCCATGACCTATTTGCCTGCTCTTCTTCCCTTTCATGCCCGGCAACCTTCAGCTCCCTCAACGCTGCTCCTGAGGTTTCCCAAGGCAGGCTTCACTTGCTTTAGTCTCCTGCAGCCCCTCCATCCTATCCCGCAATCTCCCACTTCTCTGTTCTTCACTGGATACCCTGTCTGCATCCCACTCTCTTCACCTTTTTCAATAATCACAGAAAAGAAATCCTTGGGGAACTGGATGGGAATCTGGAAATGGTGTCTCAGGAGCTTTATGTCATTTGCCATGTATTGTCCTTTGCGGGGAAGCAGACCTGGAGGCTTGTTTCCTGCCAGGAGAAGGTTGGGCACGTTAAGTGAGAAAAGGCCTAAGGGTCCCAGGTTTGGGGACCTCGACCTGGGTTTTGGGCAGAGGGCAGCTTTCTTTTTTCTTCTCTCTCTCTTTTTTTTTTTTCTCGTTGTTTCGCTCTTGTTGCCCAGGCTGGAGTGCAATGGCGCGATCTCAGCTCACCGCAACCTCTGCCTCTTGGGTTGAAACGATTCTCCCACCTCAGCCTCCCAAATAGCTGTGGTTTACAGGCATGCGCCACCACGCCCGGCTAATTCTGTATTTTTAGTAGAGACGGGGCAGAGGGTAGTTTTCTAGCTGCCAGTGCCAATATAAGGACCCGCTGGGGTCGGCTGTCTTGGGCCACTGAAATCACCCTTGCCCCGACCCTCCCTTCCTACCACTGTCTTTCATGATCCCTCCTATGAGGCTGGGCCGCAACTGCAGGCTGATGTTCCAGATATTCTGATACCGGCACAGGACCTGCGGGCAGAGGTCAAGAACGACTGCCAGTGTGCAAGATGGAAAAGTGAAAGAGCCAAGGGAAAGGGAAGGGAGGCGCTAAGTGCAGAGCAGAGGTTATGCGGACACCCTACATTGTTTGGTTTGAAACTGACAAAACTCTCCCCCTCTACTAGAAATCTATTCCAGGATCTTCGCTCCTGTGGCCAGTTTTCCCCAAAACTGCCATCGTTGGGCTAAGAGGTGGCCATGTTCTGCATTTCTCCCCGAATGTTTGGAGCCGCCCCTCTTTCCACCACCGTGGGAAACTGCAGTCGGGATATAAAGGCTCGGGTTGGAGCCAGCGACTCTATTCCGTTTAAAAGCACAAAGTGACCTTCAGCCCTGGAGCTCTCCCTGCTTGCCCTAACCCCGTGGGCGGCGCCAGGAGTTTCACGAGACCTCTGTCCCTGTGCCCTGCGCTCATTTTTCCCTCCGCCCTCACACCCCAGGCCCCGCCGAGGCGGCCACCCCAGCGTCACCTCGAAGCCCAGCCAGGAGTAGGGGGACAGCACGTCATAGAAGAGCTCCACGGTGCGCACCAGGGGCCCCATGCTGCAGGCTCCGGAGGAGCGGCGGCAGCAGCTGCTAGTTCCCCGGAACTTGGCACAGGCAGCCCCGCTTCTGGACCTGCCCGGGACCGCCCACCGCCTTAGCGCGCAGCCTCAGAGAGAAACTGCCCTGGCAGAGGCCGCCCTCAGGCACAGCGGGGCGGGGCCAGCCTACGGCCCCCAGCCAGGGGCGGGGTGGGTAGGGACCCCTTGGGGAGCGCGCAGGTGTGGACAAGAGGCGCTGCAACCGCCTTTGCAAAAATTTTAACAGTGAGGAAATTACCAAGGTGAAACATCTGAATTCACCAACTCCATCGTGCCTTTAACCTCCAAACTGCCCTTGGTCATTCCTGAGCATGGGACGAGCCAATATAGGGAGAAATTTAGTATATAGTTTAAATGATAATAGCCCTTCCCCAAACTAAAGCAGTTTTATAAAACTAATAGAAGTCCAACAAGTTTAGGATTATGAGAGGGGCCTGAATTCTGCTAAGATGTAGGCATTACAATTACCAGACATTGTTCCAGAGGTCACAAGCTCTGCAACTTCCGCAGTTATCCCTGTAAATAACCACTTTTGTAGAACCTAAGACTAGCCTTTGAAGATACCTTCTCAGACTTTTCCATTTCTGATGACAGGATGACTCCACCTGGATCAGTGACTCCTCTGTGGCCCTCATCCAGATGCAGCTCAGTGCACTGAGGACGGTTTTCCACACCCCTGTGATTGCATCCCCAACCAATCAGCAGCACCCGTTCTCTAGCCCCTTGCCCACCAAACTATTGTTAAAAAACTAGCCGGTGGGCATGGTGGCTCACGCCTGTAATCCTAGCACTTTGGGAGGCTGAGGCGGGTGGATCACTTGAGGTCAGGAGTTCAAGACCATTCTGGCCCACATGGTGAAACCCTGTCTGTACTGAAAATGCAAAAATTAGCCGGGCATGGTGGCATGTGCCTGTAATCCCAGTTACTCGGGAGGCTGAGTCAGGAGAACTGCTTGAATCCGGGAGGCAGAGGTTGCAGTGAGCCAAGATCATGCCATTGCACTCCAGCCTGGGTGACAGAGCAAGACTCCATCTCAAAAGAAAAAACAAAAACAAAAAAACCCACAAAGCCCCTTAGCCTCTGCCTCCGAATTTTGAAAGGTTAATTTGAGTAATAGTAAAATTCTGGTCTCCTGTTTAGCAGGCTCTATATGTATTAAACTCTTTCTCTATTGCAATTCCCTTGTCTTGATAAATCAGCTCTATCTGGGTAATGGGCAAGATGAACCCATTGGGCTGGTGTCAGGGTGACTGTCCTACTCTGCAGTGAAGTCTTTGGGAAGGAGATAGTTTGAGATGCCTATAGTGCCTTTCACTTAGCTGTGCCCCTTGGGTGAGCCACTTGAACCTATTTCCTCATCCTACATACACATGGGGAATATCTAATGATAACACCGGCCTTATGATGAGTTGTGAGGATTGAGGTACTCCAATAACTGCTAGCTCTTATTATTGTTACTTGGCAGTTGCATGAATCTCCTGAACTGGGGCAGAATAAGAAGTTCTCAGAGTACACATTTTCTTGTGTTACCTTTATCGATTTGCACAATGTCTGGGACACATTTGACCATTGATACATATATTTTGAGTGAGTGAAAAAAAGAGGGACTGGTAGAAGATGGAGAGGCCTCACCATAGATAATTGTAGTGATAATGGGAACGATTGACCCTATTCGTTTTCACAAATATGTGAGTCATATTGTCTTATATTGGGATTACATTTACTGCAAAGAAACAGAATTTTAAAATAATTCCATTTAACTTTGTTAAAATTATCTTTAACATTACTAATTTAATAAGTTGGAAAACATATAAAGATTTCACTTTTCATTTGTATCAATAAGGAAAACAACTCCAGGCTGTCAGAATACAGAGATACAAGGTAAACCCCTACATGGAGAAGAGCATGCAAAATGGAATGAAAAATGATGTTATCATTACCTACTTGCAGAGTAAACTAATTGTTCGACAATCACTGAAACTAAACTTTTTTTTTTTTTTTTGAGATGGAGTCTTGCTCTGTTGCCCAGGCTGGAGTGCAGTAGCACAATCTCAGCTCACTTTAACCTCTACCTCCCAGGTTCAAGTAATTCTCTCTGCCTCATCTCCCAAGTAGCTGGGATTACAGGTGGCCACCACCACGCCCAGCTAACTTTTGTGTTTTTAGTAGAGATGAACTTTCACTATGTTGGCCAGTCTGGTCTTGAACTCCTGACCTCAGGTGATCCACCCATTTTGGCCTTCCAAAGTGCTGGGATTACAGATGTGAGCTACCACAGTCCACCTTTTTTTTTTTTTTTTTTTCTGAGACGTGATCTCACTCTGTTGCTCAGACTGAAATGCAGTGGTGCAATTTTGGCTCACTGCAACCTCTGCCCCCCAAGCTCAAGCAATTCTCCCACCTCAGCCTCCTGAGTAGCAGGGACTACAGGTGTATGCCACCACACCCAGCTAATTTTTGTTTTTTTTTGTAGAGACAGGGTTTCACCATGCTTTCCAGTCTGGTCTTGAATTCCTGGGCTCAAGTGATGCTCCCACCTCGGCCTCCCAAAGTGCTAGGATTACAGGCATCAGCCGCCATGCCCAGCTACATTTTTGTTTTTATCCAGTAATCATAATTTTAAAGTGTCCAAGAGCTAATTCAGCAAGGTAATTTAAGGTTTCATTTCAAAGGTAGATCAATCGCTTATTTTAAAAAGCTTTTTATATTTGGAAATATTTTAGATTTCGTGAAGACTTGTAAAGATAGTACAAGGTTTCTGAATACCCCTCATCCAGCTTTACCTAATGTGAAAATCTTACATAAGTATGGTATAATGATAAAAACCAATACATTAACATTGGTACATTAGGTACATTACTTTTTTTTTTTTTTTTTGAGACGGAGTCTCACTCTGTTACCCAGGCTGGAGTGCAGTGGCACAATCTTGGCTCCCTGCAACCTCCGGCTCCCAGGTTCAAGCGATTCTCCTGCCTCAGTCTCCCGAGTAGCTGGGATTACAGGTGTGTGCCACTACGCTCAGCTAATTTTTTGTATTTTTTAGTAGAGACGGGGTTTCACCATATTGGACAGGCTGGTCTCCAAGTCCTGACCTCATGATCCCCCTGCCTCAGCCTCCCAAAGTGCTGGGATTACAGGCATGAGCCTCTGCTCCCAGCCTGGTACGTTACAATTAACTGAACTACAGATTTTACTCAGATTTCACCAGTTTTTTCACTAATGTTCTTTTTCTGTTCCAGGATCTAGTCCAGCATACCACACAGAATTTTGTTGTCATGTCTCTTTATTCTTCTCGTATCTATGAAAGTTTCTTGGCCTTTTCTAGTGTTTCATGACTTTGACACTTGTGAAGAGTGTTGATCAGCTATTTTATAGCATGTCCCTTCATTTGGGTTTGTCTGATATTTCCTCAGAATAAGACTAAGGTTGTGGACTTTTGGGAAGATTGCCACAGAGGTAAGGTGCCCTTCTTGAATCATGTCATGAAGTACAGGATATCAACATGACTCATCACTGGTGATGTTTACCTTGGCCACCTGATTAAGGTGGAGCAACTGGCAAATTTCTGCACTGTAAAGTCACTATTTTTCCCCATCTAAACCCTGGTTTTTGGAAGGGAGTCACTAAGTGCGGCCCACCCTGGGAGTGAGGGTTGAGTAGATTAAGTCCATCCACTGGAGGGAAGAATATTAAAGAAGGTATGGATATACCTTAACACCACCAATGTAACTAATAAATATTTGGGGGAGATACTTTGAGGCTATGCAAATATCCAGTTGCTCCCTAAACTTTCACCCCTCAGTTTTATTGTTCTTCAGTGGATCTTGCCTGCAGCATGTATTCTAATGGTGATTCTCTATTTCCTTAATTTTTTACATTTATTAATTGGAATTCTTCTGACAGGAGAATTGTCCCTACTTTCTATTTATTTATTTATTCAGTCAGTTATTTATGTGAGTATGGACTCATAGATATTTACTTTAAGAATCACAGAATAGTAAAACATTGATCTGCATTCTTACAGTCTATCTCCACACACTATTACTGTTGTTATTATTATTATTATTTTTAGTTTGGGCCCTGTTGAGAATAATACGGAGTAGAGACAACAAAAAGAAAAAAATATTCACTTCTATGGGCTATTATCTTCCTATTGCTGAGAGGGGTACTTAGTGTTAAAAGAAAAACCTCAGACAATTTAAATTTAACGGAGTTCATTTGAGTAAAGTATGATTCATGAATCAGGCAGTACTCGGAACCAGAAGCGGTTCTGAGAGCTCTGCAACTGTAGGCAATGGGTGTTTATAAGCAGAACAGGAAAGTAAAGTACAGAAATAGTCTGATTTGTTGTAGCTAACTTTGATTTGTTGTAGCTGAGTGTTTTGCTTGATTTAAACATGAGCCAGTCAGTTGGCTGCTTCCACTTAGCTGAAGCTTGGCTGCTTGTGATTGGCAAAGACCTGATTGTCTGTTATAAAAATGAAACTCCTAAGTTAAGTTTCAGTTTGTTTACATACTAAGTTAGGTTGCATTTTGTTTCATAGGAATTCAAAGCATGAAGACTGTCTCAGGTCAATAGCCTGCTGCTCACTTAATTTTACTCTAGATACTGATTAGAGCTATTGAAACAAGAAATAGTGGAATAAGTAAATTATTTGAAGTGGGAAAAGCACTAAGCAGAGGAACAAAACACGATATAATTATCAAACATTGGAGGAGGCAGAGGAGGGGTAGTGTATGCGATCCAAATTCTCATCTTTCGTAGATGAGCCAGTGGTATTATCTACATTTGAAAGCTCAGTAAATAGCGCTTTAATCATGTCAGTTGGAATTAAATAATTGATACTGGAAAGCTTTAAATAAGTTGCCTTTTCAAATAAACAAAAAATTGACTATTCAATAAATGATATTGGGGCAACTGAGGGCTTTTTGTTGTTGTTGTTGTTTGTTTGTTTGTGTTTTTTGTGACGGAGTCTTGATCTGTCGCCCAGTCTGGAGTGCAGTGGCATGATCTCGGCTCACTGCAACCTCCGCCTCCCAGGTTCAAGCGGTTCTCCTGCCTCAG